CAAAATAGCACTTATTTACTATAAATTTACAATTTCTAACGTATATAAAGAATATTTAAATAGTAATTAAAAATCCGCTAAATTTAAGGATAAGGGTAAATATTAGATTGTAGTACCCCCTTTAAAAGCTAATAAATATACAAATATAGGGATTAAACACTAATTTATCCCTAAATTATTCCTATTAATTTCCGTAGGGCGTATATATAATCGTTCCTAGTAAGATCTTCTACTATTAGAAGGAGTTTAAGCCGGATTGTTATAGTACGGATATTTGGTATAATTTTAATATAAGTAAGATTTGAAAATTATTGAAATTAATATAAAAGTTAATATTCAATTATATTAAATTATATTTACAATTTATAGTAATTTAATTAAATATTTAAAGAATATTTATAATATCCTTAAGGAATATCTATCGGACGTTTCAATCGGAAGTATTAAGGTTAAGGTTTATATAGTTACTATTAGTATATAACCTAACCTTATAAAATTTTAATATAATTAAATTAATTATAAATAAATTTAAAATAGTATAAGGATTTAATAATTTCTATAACCTTAAATTAAGCTATAATTATCTTTATCCTTAGTAGGACTTTGTACCCGGTTATTCCTAAGAAATATAAAGTAATAAGTTTCAATAGAGAATTGGACTTAATTATTTAAATTAGAAACGCCTTCTAAATTTATATATTAGATTCGCCTTTAATTTAGGATAAGTAGTAGGAGGATAAGTAAGAGATATAATAAAAGAAGTAGCCGGAGGATAAATAATAGGAGGATAAATAAGAGAAATAGTAGGAAGATAAATAAGAGAAATAACTAGAAAATAAGTAGTAAGAAGATAAATAGGAGAAATAGTAGGAGGATAAGTAGGAGAAGTAGCCGGAGGATAAATAGTAGGAGGATGAATAGGAAAAATAATAGGAAAATAAATAGGAGAAGTAATTAGAGGATAAGTAATAGGAGGATAAATAGGAGAAATAGTAAGAGGATAAGTAGGAGAAATAGTCGGAGGATAAGTAGTAAGAGGATAAGTAGGAAATATAATAGGAAAAGTAATAGGAAGATAAAGAAGATTCGGATTTAATAGATTTATAATTAGAATTTAAAGATAGAAAAGTATAAGGGAATTAGTAAAATAATAAGGTAGAGAAAGAGGCGGATAATTTAATATAAATGCCCTTTTAAAAGAACGGGAATATAAATTTCCTAATTATACTTCTAACGTATCCCTAATATATTACTAATAATTTTTAAATTAATATTTAATAGATAAAGAAAATATATAAATAATATTATAATATATATTCCTTTATTCTATTTATTTATATGTTATATAAAGCGGTTAAATATAATTATAAATTTTTAAAATATATTTTATAGAATTTATATTAATTATAAATTTATTATAGGCCTTCCCCTTATTTATTATAATAATAGTGGTAAAGGCCGGGGTTATATTATTTAAGACGAATTCCGTCGCAATACGGGTAAGCCTACAGAGATTATAATTTTTTTATTTAAAGTTTAAATTTAATAATTATAATTAAGGTATTAGAATTAGTAATAGTAGGGATAACTAAAATAAATTAGAAATAGTTTAGGGATAAATTAAATTACCCTTAGGCTACTTAATTCCCAATTATATTTATAGCGCTCTATTAATATTAGGTCCTTTTATAGATAGTTATTTCTTTATAGGGAAAGTCTTTTATAGGTAATTAGGGATTTTTTTTTGCGGGGAAATTTTTGTGTGTATATTATTCCTTGTATAAATAGAAGTATTAATAATATTAAATTCGATTTTATCTGTAATAGTATTGCTGAAGTATTATATAAAAGGAGATTGTAAGCGGTATACTTCGGTTTTGTAAAGAGAAATAATTTTATTTAATATTATTATTAAAGTGATTCCGTACGAATACGTTTTGTAGTAATTGTGTCAATTTTTTATTTTAGTAGGTCGGACCAATTTTCTATATAAATGCACGGACCACTGGGTTAGGAAGCTTTGGGTATAGGGTCGGGTCATCTGATACTTCCTAAGAAACTCCTATCCTCACTTAATTAAATATTAACATGGACATTGGCACACGGCAATGCATGTCCTCACTCCTGAGAGCTGGAGAATAAAGTTGAGAGCCCGGGCAGACGGGAAATTGATAGGGCGATACTCGGGATCGAGGTATCTGTTCTCGCTTGACATGTGCAGATGTACCTTACCCAGCTGCACATCGTGATGTATTGATCCATCTAGTGGGTTCTAATGGTTTTTAGTGATTGAAAGTCTCCTCGTGGATACCCTGGTGCAATCTGAAATTGGCGAGACGCTGACAAGTCAGTTAGCCCCCACCCAGGCCAGTTACTAAACAACGTGCAGACCATGTCAATTGCAGTGTCATGGAGGAGTTCCATCCCAATCCTCCAGGTTGCTGTCGGTCCTGAGCAATCATCAAATTTCGTACCAGACTTGTTACAATTTCAGTAAATGATAACAGTAGCGAAGGACCGGATTTTGCAGATTGCCCCCCACGATGGGACGGCGGCTTTGCATCGTTTCTTGGGGTTTAGTATCGGTATTACGTATTCGAACACATTCGCCACGGTGTTGTTGGGATCGTACTCGTGTAGTATGCAAACACTAGTGTACCTAGTGTACTATGTAGTGAACGCGGCAGAGGACAGACGTCACAGGCCGTTCAACCTGAAGTCAGGTACCTGGGCTTTCGCTGGGCTCCTGGGCTGCTGGGGAAAAACACAGACGCAACGCACATGTGGAAAGACAGAAGGCAAATCTAATCAAGCCCGAATAACCGTGTCTCGGATGTTACCTTTTGACATTGATCGCATGAATGACCGCATTGTACAAGCCATGTTTTGTTAGGTAACATGTCAACACAAGCAGATCGACCTTTGGCTCTAGTGTGGTCATTTCAGCAGATATTGCCTGCCTTTTTGGAAGCAGCGGGAATGGGACTTCTTCCGTTGCAGCACCTTCCACTCCTTCGCAACTTCGCTATTTTCCAGCAGGCAGTTGTAATTGTGACCAACGGCAGGTGCTCTTCGCTTTTGTCTCTCTTTCCCTTGCGTGGTCCGGCTTGTCTTGGCGCCCGTCCTGCCGCACACATAGAGTACCTACTACACTAGTACTCGCCGTGAAATTTTCATCGGTGCCATCGTTCGCTTGTCTGGGAAGGGCCGTCGAAAAAGGACATGATCTGGTCGACGCGAACCCTGGTCATTTCCGTCATTGTCGTATGTACCCTGGAAGCTACCTACCTACAGATGCACACTCCCATCTCGGTCCAGAGGACAGGGCACGCACCTCCACGATGCACTGCGATGCACTTCGGTCGACTTTTACGGTGCAGTGGTAATCAGTACTGTGTATCCGAGGCCGTGTAATGTAGTGTAGAGATTCCCACGCAAGTGGTTAGGTTGAGATCTACGGCGACATGCAGTTGTTTGAGAAGAGGCCCGCGAGATCTTACAAGCTTGGGTAGGTAGGTACTCAGATCCCATTTCCAAGAGGTCATCACTGTGGCGGTTTCAAAACTTTCCCACCATCTTGTGGTCAGCTCAGTTGCGGCGTGACGGTCTCCCGACTTTCACCTGCAGTGCCTACCTACCTCTATGCACCTGCACTACGAGTGTGCCGGGTTTTGCGGGCACGCAGGACGGTAACAGCAACGAAGTGGAGGTACGGTACTGTAGGTATCGAGATCCAGTCAGATTACAGGCACTGTGGTGTGGTTCCCGTCTGTCTGCTTTCCATCCATTCTGCTTGACTAGCGCATCTGCAGAACGGACCACTCAAGCGTTGTTCTTTTCATCCTTTTGCTGGGTCTTCACTGCTCCACTCGCCCAACGCTTTTGCCATCCACTTTGGCAGCGGATCTGTCGTCGCCCTCGTTCGCCTCTCTCTTTGGCTCCTGATGACATGTGCACGGGCCACGGTGGATCACGGCTAGCGTCTGGCGTCTTGTCAGAGGCAGTTCTGGCAGGCCATTCACTTCAATTTTACCACCTCGCAGCCGGCCCCGTCGCGCGCAGGTTTGAAGGTTTCGATCCAGTCAGTCAGTCGCAAGTCGCCAGTCGCAGTCGCACTCTTGTCGCAACTGAACGAGTCGACCCGGGCACTGCACTGACCATCTAACCCCCCCGGTCTAGCGCCCGTCTTTCTCAACCTTTCATTCACGATTCTTTTCTTCCTCTTCCACCTCTCTCTCTTCCTCTCTTCTCGTCGTCGTCACGCCGTACTTCACGTCTCTTTTTTCTTCCCTCCTCCCCTCCATCGCTGCCGAATCCGCCGGGGATCCCGCATACCGACGAGCGACCAATTCAGTTTTGCGTCGTTCAAGAGAGGATTTGGGTGCATTTCAACTCTTCGCTGTTTTGGGTCGAATAACGAAGAGGCGCCTTTGCAGGAGTGGTTTTTTTTACGGCCAGGGTGCGCTCTCAGTGTTTTGCCAGTACTAGTGGTATCGAGACCCTCGACGTCAGACTCAGCACGGCATCACCGGACAAGTCGACAAGACCACCCACATCATCACTTGTGGGACATTGTCACGCCGTCACCGACCTCACCTTAAGATCACAACGACGGTACCTGTCACCTTCACGTCCGACTTCGTCTTCACAGGTTAGTGTCTACATTTGTTCAACAAGAAGTCCAGTTTTTGGTCTTCTTCTGCCGCCCAACTTCAATTTGGAGTCCGCTCCGCGCGGTCCCCTACCATGAATACACACTTTTCCACCAAACGCAACACTTGGCCATGGAAAACTAACTTTCCGTCTCATAGCTCCTACACATTCTCTTTTCAACGAGACCTAATATTCCGGCATCTTGCATACCGGATACAGACCCCTTGAGTCCAGAGATTTTTTCGGCCTTGTTGATTGGATCAAGACGACTTCCCCTTTGCTTCGCGAACAAAAAGATCTCTTACTAGGGATCACTTGTTGGCTGCGGGCATTTTCTTTGCGACGACCCAAAACAGTCTGGTTTTCTTTGAACTGATTTCTCACGACCTATTCGACGACTTATGGCCAGACCGTCCCACTAGATCTCGATCATTCTCAGCATTTCGAGATCCTCTCCCCTTTTGAGCCTTGGGATTTTATCCGGCTAGTGATATCTCCGTTATATCCAAGCTCTGGTCCCGGATCCGTCCATCTTTCAACGCATTCTCACTTTCAAACTCAGATTTTCTGACTACCAACCGCCAAGATGCCCGGAGGTGTTTGCGCCGTTCTCGACTACGAGGTCGAGTTGATGGCCGATTATGTTTCTGAAATGGCTACTCGAATTGTCATGCCGCAAAACGCCGTCAACACCGCCTTCAGGAAGTTTGTGTCACAGATTCTCACTTCCACTCGGCTTCCCAGCACTACCATCCTTCTCGGCATGAACTACCTTGCCAAGCGCGTCAACATGATGAAGGCTAACGGCCAGACCACCCATTCCGAAGGTCAAATCTGGCGCATGTTGACCATCTCGCTTTTGCTTGGAAGCAAGTTTCTGGACGATAACACTTTTCAGAACAAGTCCTGGTCCGAAGTGAGCGGGATTCCCGTCAAGGAGCTCAACACTCTGGAATATGAGTGGCTCGGTGTGATTGGCTGGCGGCTGTATGTCAACCTCGATGAGAGTGAGGATTACAATGCCTGGCTGGCAAACTGGAAGGAATGGTTGGAGGCGAAGAAATTGCAACAAGCTCAGGCCAACCGCGAACGCTTGGCCTCCCTTGTGCCTCCTATCAAGACCGACATTTCCCGATCTCGGTTCTCCTCGGCTTGGGAGCAGAAGCAGATTGCCGAGTATGAGAGGCTATCGAGCATCAAGCGCAGCCAAACCACTCACGTTGCTTATCCTCGCCACGAGCAGTCCGTGTGGGGTCATTGGTCGCAGCAACAGGCGCCGTTGACGCCTCCCGACTCTGGATACGGAACGCCCGAGTATGTCAACTCGGCGACATCGGTCAATTCCCACTACAACGAGTGGTTCGATAGTGCGGTTAGGGACCATTGCCAGGCCTCTCGGCAATACCAGCAGCCTGCGTCATATAACTCGTTCTATCGCGGCTTGTCCAATCGTCACCAGAACAGCACTTCGGGGTACTGGAACTACACCCACAACGTTTGGGAGCATTCCCTTTCCGGTGATTGCAACTGCGCTACTTGTGCTGCTACGGACAACTCGCCTCCATACTTCATGGGTCACACCTACGGACAGCCGGTTGTTGGCTAAACAGCCAAGGACACTTGCGACACGGTTTCGACGATGCCACGAGTTTTGGCGTTTTGAGTGATCATACAACATCCGCAGCTTTTCATCGGAGGCTGTGCTTTCTCACTGCATTTTCATCTGGTGCAGGTTCCTTTACAGGCACATGAGAGAATTGATACATTGCATTCAGATACCCCGATCGACAAATGGACCGGTTCGTTTGAAAAGCCCAGAAGACCAGACTCCTCCAGATTCTGTTCCTAGCGAAATTCCTACCTTTGCTCGCTCCATCTCGCATGCTTGAGCGGAGAAGCATTGCTACGGCATGGGATGGGCAGCCGCAACGTATTTGCATACGCGGGATACAAACTTTCACGCTTCCATTCGTCATTGATTAATGACTTTCGTTTTCTTCCTCGGTATATGGTTCGGTAATATTCATAAACCGGCGTTCTTGGATTCCTAAATCACGGGCTTTGTTCAAATTCGGCATAGATTCGACAAAAGTTTTTCATCTTTTCTTCCAATACACAAGACGGGCGGTTTGCTTCCGCATCGATCGCCACCTTTTTTTCCCCGGCCCATCAGCGTCGACTTGGGTTGCGAGATTCAGCATACACTGATATCAATGACATATTCGCATCAATGGGTTATACCTGTTCGAGAGATGCGATGTGGTCGATGTCGCGACAGCCCACAACAAGCATTGCCCGACTTGTTTCAGCTTGAGTAGCTGACATCACCTTGGGTCGAAGTCACCTGCACTCGCTGGTTGTTTTTGTTTTTCTTCCTGGTTCTTTGCGTTTTCTGCATTCACAAAAAGGGTCGTCTGGTCCACCGCAGCTGGTCAGTTACATAAGAAGGCCATTCTTCGCGCGGCGTCACCTATCAAAAGTACATTCGAGGCCTTACATATATCAAAAAAGTTCGGAGGTGGGCATGGTACAATTCTTTTTTCTACTTCTTCTTTCATTTTCTTCTTGCCCATCAGGGTTTGGTGCGTTTACAGGATTGGGGTTCATGAGGTCGGAAAAATCAAGATGAGGCTGCTTTGCATTTTTGCGGAAAAAAGGGGGCTCGATTGCTGTTTTATTCTTGTGTGTCGTTTCCTACGTTCAACACCACATTCTGGGTTGCACGTTGAGTCATTCATCGCTGCATGTCAAGGGTGGCCCAAAGACTTGCCTTCTGTCGATACTCGGCGAACACCTGGACAGCGTTTACGTTGTCTTTCTATTTACCATGACTATGGACTTAGATGGTGGCTGTTTTCTTTGACTTTGGTGTTTTTTTTTCTTGTTTTTTTTTTTTTTTTTTTTTTTTTTTTTTTTTTCATCTTCTTCTCGAAGACCGGCATCTGGTTGTAGAGTGGGAAGACTTGCAACTACGTTCAAAACGGTAGACGGGTTCGTTTAGGGTTAAACTGGTCGTCGTGCCAGTAGGGATGGATTTGTTACCCGCGAAATACCCTCATGATTTACGAGCATTGCGGACATGTGGGAGTGGAAAAGAATGGGATGATGGGAGGAAGCAAAAGACGATTAAAACCGATCGAGAGAGTCAACTCGCAATTGACGGCGCCGTTCAGCAGCAGCTGGATCGAGATATCAGTGGACTTGACCATGGTTCAAGAAGTTCGGGGATAACATGATATCGGACAGCATCTGCCGACGAAATTGAGTAGTAGAGTGCATTGCAATGATGAGCTGACAGCAATGACGAGCACATTGAAGGCACCTCTTACTGCCAGTTTTACAATGCTCTGATGAATAAACAAAACCAAAAAATTTCGATGAACCAATTACCGCTATTTCATGCGTTTCAATCTGTGACGTGCCGAATGCCGTTCTTGGGTTTGAGTCTTAGATGCTTTGGAGCTTGTATGAAGTTGAGATAGTTGAGCTGTCGAATGTCGACTCGAAATAATGTTCAGCAGCGCAATGCTCCACTCTCCCTGCTGTGATTGGTGGCTTTTCCTACCGGCAGACATACCGACCAAACGCTAAAAAAGGGTTTCGAGTTTTGAGACTCGATTATGAAATGAACCACCTGGTTATCGTAACTACGACACAAGATCACAGCAATCAAACTCGTTGTGCGTTTCGTAGATTTCTTCAATTGTCGAGAAAGGTCCAGTAATCTTTGGATGTCAGTCATTCTGAAATCACCTCACAACCGGACGACACAGCGGAGATTACAAACATCCCAAACATTCAGTTCCGTCTACAAGACAATTTCGAACCATCTTTGAAAAGTTCACTGGAAAATGTCCTCCCGTTTCGTTTCCGTTGGCGTCATCAATCCCTCTACGGGGGAGGTAGCAACATCGGCGGCTGTCACGTCTTCATCTGTCTCGCCTCCCACATCTTCATCAACAACCGCTGCTGCCGCCGCCACTTCCACGGCCCCATCGACATCATTAACAACATCAACAACCGTCACCAATACACCAGCCAATGTCCAAAACACCACCACCACCTCATCATCATCAAAAACATCAACAATAACCCCCACCCCCACCCCCACCCCTGCCGCCACAGCACCAGCACCAGCACCAGCACTAGCACCTGCATCAGCACCAGCACCAGCACCATCCACCCCAAGCCCTCTCCCGCCAGCCGCCGCCTCCAAAAAGTCCCAGGAATGGCTCACCGTACAAGCCGAACTCGAAGCCAAGAAACGCTCTTCTGCTTCTTCCATGCCCACCATTGGCGGCGGCGGCGGTGGTGGCCCAGCAGCCACTGAACAGAAATCCCTTTACGAAGTCCTCCAAGCCAACAAGGCAGCCAGGCAAGCGGCCTTTGAAGAAGCCAACAAGATCAAGAACCAGTTCCGCGCTTTGGACGACGACGAGATTGAGTTCCTTGAGGGCGTGGCGGAGAGGAAGAGGAGGGAGGAGGAAGAGAGACGAAGAGAGGAGGAAGGGGGGTTGCAGAAGTTTAGGGAGTTGCAGCGGCAAAAAGGTGGTGGTGGTGGTGGTGAGGAGCAAGAGGGGGATGGAGAGGATGGGGAGGATGATGGGTTGGGCGAGGAGGAGTTGATGTTTTTGAGTGGAGCGGGAGGTGGAGGGAGGAAGAGAAGGAGGATGGGAGAGGGGAAAAGGTTGGTGCCGGGGGTGAAGAGGGCTAGGAGTGGAGGAGAGGAAGGGAAAAAGAAGAAGGAGGAGGAGGGGAACACGGTGGTTTCTGAGCCAGCCAAGGCTACAGCTACGGCGCCCGCGAAAAAGCCCTCTGGTGGACTTGTTTCATATGCATCGTCGGATGAGGATGATGACTGAGCATTGTAAAGGGAAATGAAGAATGAAAACGGGGCTCCAGACAAGGCAGGAGTTGACTTGGTTGAACTACTTGATTCACGAGTTTACTGGGAGAGGAGGCTCATCATATGCTGTGTGGAAGAGGGCTGGAAAGATCAGAGATATCGCCAATCTCATCTAAATAGCAACCGCCAACACCTAGCCCTTTTATATACCCAACAACTAGTCCACAACCAGCTTTTCTTCGCCATTGCTTATTCATACACTGTGATCGTAACATGTACCTCTTTTATATCTTGTTTGTACATGAGGATAAGATGCCAGTTAAACACAAGTTTCCTGTATCAACAGTACCACCTCGCTTACTCAACATCCTTATCCTCCAAAGGGACAAGCTTCTTCTTGTTGAAGGCCTTGTCGTAGCCCCAACGACAGGCCTTCCTCAATGAACCCTTGATCCAGCCCTCGACCTCCTCCTCAGGCACTTTAATCTTGCCCACCCGATCCTCGTCCTCGGGCGTCAAGGCAAACCTCCTCATGCGGTGCGCAAGTCTTGGGTCCATGACCACGGGCTTGGTATGGATCTTTTCCGTCACTTCCTTATCGGCATCGGCCTCATCCTCCTTCCATACCTTCTTGGGCCAGTCCTGCTCCTCCCACTCGAGCTCCTTCGCCTGCTCATACTGCACCGAATCGGTAGACGGCGCGTCTGGGTTGGTTTGTTGCTGGAACTCGCGGTGGGTTGCCAGGCACACAGCGGCGACTTCGCGGCCGATGTCGTCGGCGAGTGAGCGGCGGTTGAAGAATCGGACCATGCGTGTAGGGGTGTTGAGGAAGCCGAGAATATGAGGCTCACGGATAGGGACCGCAGGGGTGAGCTCCTGTGGCGTCAGGGGGTGGAGGGTCTCGGACGGGTAATCGGAGGTTGTGTTGTATGGCTTGGGTTGGGGTGGGCGCTTGGGCTTCGGGGCTTCCTCCTCCTTCTTCTCCTCCGCGGGCTTGTCTTCTGTGGATGCGCTACCCTCAGCCGCAGCGGGTGCGGGTGTGGGAGGGAGCGGCGCAGGCTCAGCGGGCGCGACCAGCGGCCCTAACCAACCCTCGTGCAGACCCCGGAGGTACTCCTTCCATGTGTGACGGCCAATGACAACATCGCCGCGAACACCCTCGTAGTCCTTGATGCCGCGCTGCTGGCGGTAGATCTCTATCAACTCGTCCTTGGTAGGCTCGCGGTTGGGGTCCTGCTCGTCTTTGTTCTCCCAGCCACGGCGCACCTTGCGCAGTCTTTCTGCGACTACGGCGCGCACGTCGCCTTCCCGGCGGCCCTGCACAAACTCCCAGTCCAAGCCACTGGCGGCAAGAACAGGCTTGACGTATTCTGTGTAGTGATCCTGAGCGACCCGCAGGCCGTCGCCGGGCGGGGCGGAGAGGTAGATGGTCAGCTTGCGCGGCTGTTCAAGGCCGAGTTTATCGGTGATGGGTTCGGCAGCCAGGTGCTCGACGGCGTGTCTCCATTTCGCAATGTTTCGCCTCTTCTCGCGGCGGTCGTAAATGATTGCAGCTGTGATGGAGGCCGAGACGGTCCAGAAGATGATCCAATTTCGGGAGGGGAGCTTGTTGGGCAGGTTAGGGAGACCGAGCATGCGAAGTGCCTGGTTCTGCGGCCTGGGGGCTTTCGGAGGAGGAGGAGGCTAGGTGTAGTGTTAGCAAACCATCAAAGGTTCACTTGAGTACGAGGGAGTTGAAGAGTATCATACTGTAGCCGTAGCTGCAGCCGGAGCGGCAGGCGGCGCATTGGACGCCGGGGGTACTGGTTCGGCCATGGTATAAAGTGTTGCGCTGGCTGATGCTATTACTCTAATGTATGTCGTGTGGTGATGGAGTTTGCACAATTACGGGCGCATGCAGCTTACTGTGACGGCGCGAGGGGTATCGTAGGGAGAGCTTTCCGTGATGATTGTACGGACTACGGACAGCGACTCCGTAGGAGCTCCGTCGAGGACCTTGGGGCCGGTGCAGCGGAGCACCCGACTGCCAAAATTCCCGGACACACTTTCTTATCGCGATAAGCCGATAAGGCATTCCCGCGGCGGCACCCACCTACATCTTTCATCGCGTTTAGTGGTTGTGCACGGGCCATATGCGAAGGTCAACCGCACGTCATGCCAGTATAAATGCAGACTACTTGTACGCAGACTTGGAACAGCCCAAGATGCAGTGTTGAGAGTTTCAAGATAGCTTCATGTCTGGGCTTCATTCTCATAACCTGGAGGGTTTGTCTGCCGTCTCTTGAGCCCGATTGAAGCAGGTTCCATCTATTTGAGCCAGAACTATAGGTTCTCAAAGCGTCTGCAAAGGGTACATGAGCTTGTATACGTCGGGCTATCTGTTCCGTGTTCTTACTTTCCCTGGCTTCTCTGCTGAAGCATCGCAGAGGATGTCTCTACAGTAACTGTATACTCGGTCGTGTCGACTTGGGCTTCATGTACTGTCAGCGATCATGATGACCTCCTGCGTGGTCAATGGGCACAACTGTTCCAAGACGCTGCAACCCCTGAAAGAACAGGAGCACCCAGGGAAGATGCGGTGTCAATGGCGCTAAACGTGTGCACCCCACCTTCAGCTCCACCAGGATGCCCCTTCGATCAATGGCAGACCCGGGAGTGCCCGCTCCCAGCCAGTAATAAATTCCCGGACCAGAGTCTCGATGCTCTCTAGGTCCAATGCTGTTGCGTCGAGCTTCAACACTCGGGGGACTGGTGGTTTACAAGAAGATGGCAGCAGTGCGGAAAAGACAGCAACCAGTTGACGACGATGAGGTTGGAGTCAGGGGTTTTCAGGTTGACCAGGGCACCCCATACCTAGTTACCTTGGAGGGAAATGGGGGTCTGAAAACAGGTCCCAGTAAGCGTTCAGTAAGACTTTTGGGAATGCGCTAATCTTTTTCGCACGCGACCTTCGTATGGGGGTCGGGCGCATAAAAGCCTTACAGAGTAGGAGAAGCCTCGTTAACTGCAATAGTGCAAATCTCTTAGTAAATCTGCTGTGTGGAAATATTCCGATTATTCTTTGTCACTTTTTTTTCGTTCGTAATACTATTCTATTGTCACGTCTTTTCCTTTGTATATCTACTTCGTAGGAAATATAGATTATTTAAATTAAAATATTTTTCGCTATAATACTATTTTGTTACTATGTTTTTTTACTTCCTCTTTTATCGTTATAGTCAATTTTTTTACGTATAATAAACTAATTGAAGCTATATAGTCTATTTTTAGTCTATATCTATTTGTATATATTTGTCCACTTCTTTATACTATCTACTTTATTATTTAATATACTGGGTTCGCTAATTATATTCGTATTGAAGTTTAATATTTATCGCGGACTTGTCAACATTTAAATTAAATTAGCATTTAAGTCTGTTTTAGGTATTTAAATATTTGGCTACTAGGTATATTTGGGACTTTACTCTTTATATTATAGTAAATTATTTTTAGGAATAATTTATTACTATTTAAAGTATGATTTATTACTAATTTATTTAATTTAAAAGTCTTTATTATAAAAAAGATTAATTCTTAAGATATCCTTTTCAATTAAATATATTAATTAATAAACTAATTACTTACTATTAATAAATATATTTCTTGCAAAAGTCTTATTACGGTACTAATCTATTCGCTTCGCCTATTTATTCAATTACTATATTTATCCGTTATTTATAAGTATTGAATACTAGATACGTCCTAATTAAGTAGTATATTTAAAAGAGTAGTATAATACATTTAAGAATTTTATTCATTTACAAATCTATTATTTTAGTTAGTAGTATACATTTAATAATCTCGGCTATTTTATACTATCTCGTACTTATTAATTTACTCTTCGTATTACGTAATATCCTAATTCACACCTTCCGTTATATTAACCTCCGTATTATATTGTCCTAGCTAGTATAAGTAAATAGTATTAGAAAATTTAATTATATAGGGGCACCCAATACTAAATTCTAACCTACCCTTCCCGAACATCCCCCCCTATATATCCCGCGTCCCCCAACCTTTATCCTACTCCCATTTACTAAATATTATAAAATCTGCTTAATAACGCTACTCCGCCCGGGCGGTACTTTAATACTTAAGTATCGTCGTATCTTTATATCGGCGAAGTATTTGTATTATTACAATTATATAATTGCTTCGGGCCTCCCAACATCCCTACGTAGGAATTTATTATTAGGAATATTCGGGGGTATTTACTAATATATTTCTATTTGTAAAATTAATTTTTAAGGTACTTCGCGGGGTAAAATTATTGTACTTTATTATAGAGCATTAAAATATTATGAATTTATCGCTCTAATATTTTCGATTAATCGGACAATCATTCAACTACTTTCTTTTATATACTTTATTTATAATATAGGAATATTCTATTAATATTACTATTTATTATTATATTTCCGTTAGTATATATTTTCATTATTTTATCAACGTCTTATTATTATTATAGCATCCGCGAATTTACCCTAGCTAGCTTTAATTTAGCTTTAATTTAGACCTTAGGGTATATCCGTTTATCAATTTCTAGTTATCTATCCGAATATTATTATAATTATACTTTTATTTAGTATTAATTAATATATTTATAGCGGTTTAGTTGCGAATTAGAGTAATCTCTAAATTCCATTCTATTTTTAATTAAATATTAATTTATATAATTTAATATAATACGAATTAGAATATCGATTAGGGATTAGCTTATATAATTCAATATTATTAAATATAGTTATTATAATTAGGCTGCAAATCGGCTATTAAACGGAAGACTAGACGCTTATCCTAGATACTTAAATACGGGCTGTATAATTAACATCAGTCTTAGGCCATACTGCCGCTATTATTCTATTTTATTGTTCATTGTATACTAATATTATTTGCGAATATTGAGGGTCGATTTAGCTTTATCTAGAGTTGTAGGTACTAGGTACAGCGGATATCGACCCTAATTATATCTATTCT